GTGAACACCCTTGTAATTCACTTTAAACATTTCGAACTTTATGAATGATTATTTTAGGTTGAAGTGTGTGTAAGGAACTGGAAGCAAGCAGAGTACGGCTGTTTCTAAAGCATGTAGTCCCATCTGCAGCGAAAAATTTGAGAGAGAATCACAAAGCATTTGGAAAATCTCACAATGGATGCAGAATCATTTCTCGATTCGCGATGCATTGATTTTTTTCCACAGCCCTAATTTCAGTGTTTGATTTTTTTTCAAATTTTCACTGAATTTTGTACCATAAACAACTCTGGTGTTGGGTCAAAACCTGCTTCAAGGCTCCAGGGGTCCAGGGTTAAGAGGTCTCCCTGTCGCCGTCCCTCGAGGGACAGACGTCTGTTCCACATACTTGAGGTTTCAAACAACAAGCATAGTGGATGTCCCGCAGAGCCAGAGGCCTTGAGAATGTGCTCTTTCTCTTGTGCAGAAACAGCACAGCGCCTCTACTGTCACAGTTGTCAGTGAAAAGCATTACCAGGCTGGTAAAAATAGACTCTTGCATTAACAAGACACCTGAAGGAATGAAGAGCTGGCAGCATGAGGTAGAACAGACTTCTGGGTTTGAAGGCCATTTGTTTGGAAGATGACCTCAGAGCGAGGCGGTTTGATCACAGTTTACTGCAGTTTTCACAAGGCCAGAGATGAGATCATACGTAAGTCCTATAGAGCCGAGCTTCTGTGTGCTGTTTGCCCGCAGGAATGAAAAATCACAAAAGAGATCTCATTATTATCATCTCAGTCGTTTCTCCCAGACAACAGTAATATTAGATGGAGAGCAAATGGAGTTTCTGCTTCTCAGAATGTGCTCTTTGTGTGATCTCAAGTCTTTCAGAATGGATCTCAAAAGCATCTCAATCTGTGCTACGATTTGCCTATGATACCAAACTCATTTAAAAGTCAGGTAATTATGCTAGAAAAAAAAAACTGTGGATCTCTTTAGTATCTCAATTATTTATCCATGTCACCAAAGATATTTTCTACTTGAGTCTTCTGCTTCTCAGACTGTTCTCACTAGAAAAAAAGATAGTACCTCCTTAAAGGGGTCATATGATGCGATTTCAAGTTTTCCTTTCTCTTTGGAGTGATAAAAGCTGTTCGTGAATATAAGATCCCTAAAGTTGCAAAGACTAAAGTCTCAAACCTAAAGGGATATTCTTTATAAAAGTTAAGACTGGTCCACGCCCTCCTAAAACACTTCGTTTAAACACGCCCCCACATGTCTGCGTCACGATGTGGGAAGATTTGCATAACTCCGCACAAATGTTCACGCAAAGAAAGTAGACGTAACTTTATTGTTGCTGCCGCCACGGCCATGTTGTGAAGACACTGTGTGTTTCGCTGCGAAAGCGAAAATACTTTGTTTGGTCTTCCAAAAGAGGACACGACTAGAAATCAGTGGTTAAGTTGTATTTACAACACTGTTCCAGAACAATTCAACCCAAATATTCAGATGTGTCCAGCGCATTTGATGGAGGACTGTTTCCTGAACCTGCAGAGTAGCCTACAATGTTCTGACTCACAGTCTATAAGTACGTTTTCATATTTAAAGGATTTGCCACTGACAATTCAAACGCGAGTCTTGAGCAGTGTAGAGTAGCGCTTGTTGTTTGTCATTTCTCCGATCACAAATCTTGAGGTATTCGGCCAATCACAACGCACTGGATAGCTGGCCAACCAGAGCACACTTTGCTTTTCAGACCGATGAGCTTTGTAAAAATCGACGCGTTTCAGAAAGGCGGGGCATAGAGGAGCAACAATAATGTACAGTATGTGAAAAATAATGTGTTTTTTTAACCTTAAACTGCATAAACACATTTCATTACACCAAATACACAAACTAATGTTCTTTTTAGCAACATCATATGACCCCTTTAATAAAACATATGAGCTTAAATGGAGAGCAAATGGAGTAGCTAAAGTCCCCTGCTTCTCAGAAGTTTCTCCTGAGAAAATCTCACAGATCATGTCTGGAGTTTTGAAGGAGATCTCAAAATGTCTTCCTCAGATTTCTCAAAGATACCAAAAGAAAAGAGGAACTACATATAGATCTCTTTATTATCACAACTGTTTCTCCTAGACACCAGTCAGATGCAAACTGACCTGCTTAAGTCTCCAACTTCTCAGATGTTTCTTTTGAGGAAAAAAAAACCCCTGCTAATCTCACATATATCATTTCCTGTGTTTTAAAATAGGTCTCAAAATGTCTCAAACTCCGCTCAGATTTATCAGAGATACAAAAAAAAGAAAAGAGCAAGTGCACATAGATCTCTTTAATATCTCAACTGTTTCTCCTAGACACCAATGAGACGCAAACTGACCTGCTGAGATCTCCTGCTTAGATGTTTCTCCTGAGGACAAAAACCCTCCTGATCTCACATTTATAATTTCCTGAGTTTCAAAATAGATCTCAAAAATGTCTCAAACTCTGCTCAGATTGATCAGAGATACCAAATTATGTCTCACAAACGAGGAGAAGAGAGTAATTGCATATGGATCTCTTTAATGTCTCAACTGTTTCTCCTAGACACCAATGAGATGCAAACTGACCTGCTGAAGTCTCCTGCTTCTCAGATGTGTCTCATGAGAAAAGAAACTCTGCTAACTTCATATAAATCACATCCTGAGCTTCAAAAGGAGATCTTAAACTGCCTTAGATTTCTCAAAGATACAAAAAGAAAAGAGGAACTGCACAAATATCTCTTTAATATCTCAGCTGTTTCTTCTAGACAACAGAATGCAAGCGGACATGCTGAATTCTCCTGCTTCTCAGATGTTTCTCCTAAGGGGAAAAAAGGGGGAAAAACCCTGCTAATCTCACATATATCATCTTTAGAGTCACAAAAGAGATCTAAAATATCTCAAAAAGTTCTCAAATTTCACAGAGATTCTAAGAATTCCCCAAAGATCTCTTTAATATCTCAGCTGTTTCTTCTAGACAACAGAATGCAAGCAGACCTGCTGAATTCTCCTGCCTCTCAGATGTTTCTCCTACAAGAGCAACCTGATAACATTATATGTCATCTCTAGAGTTACAAAAAGAGATCTAAAAATATCTCAAACAGTTCTCAGATTTCTCAGAGATTCCAAAGGAGAGAAGAATTCCACAAAGGTCTCCAATATCTCTGCTGTTTCTCCTAGACACCAATGAGATGCAAACTGACCTCCTTAGATCTCCTGTTTTTCAGATGTTTTTCTCACGAGAAAGGAAACCCTGTTAATCTCACATATCATTTCCCAAGTTTCAAAAGAGATCTCAAAAATGTCTCAAACAATTCTCAGATTTCTCAAAAATACCAAAAGAATTTGCACATAATCCCTCCTAATCTCACACATATCATCTCTAGCTTCAAAAAGATCTAAAATATCTCAAACTGTGCTCAGCTTTCTCAAAGATACCAAAAGAATGTCTAAAAATGTCTTAAATATACCATGAGAAAATACTGTTTCTTTCAGACACCAAGTAGAAGCAAACTGACCAGCTGAAGTCTCCTACATATTAGGAGATGTTTCTCCTAATATCATCTCTAGAGTTTCAAGGAGATCTAAAAAATGTCTCAAACTATGCTCAAATTTGACAAGATAAGCCTGCAATCAATAGTCTTAATATGAACTCAAACATTTCTCAAATTCTCATTAGATATGAAAGAGCAAACTCTCTTTCAAAGAGCACTAACATGGGCCATCTGTGACAGCAAATTACGATTTGAAGGATGAGAAATGACAGAAATAGAAAAGCTCTCAATGCAGGTAGATACTTGCAGGACAAATAAAAATGGCATCTTGCCAAAAGTTGCTGTTTGCCAGAATCTCTGCCTGCTCAGTAAATCTCTTGCTGACATAAAGCTGGAACGTCCAGGCAGAAAGATCCTCAAATAATCCAAAACCACATATTACAGCACAGTCAATGTGGGGCCAAACTCCACAGGAGCGTGCATAAGTCACACTCGTGTGTCATTTAGGACCTTCAGCTTGGCAGCTCATTATTTGGATTCGTAACTATTGAACTGATTCGCAAAGATTTATTTCATGGGTGCAGCTGTCAGGATTTTGATTAACAATTGACAAATTGAATTAATGAGTTTATTTTGTGACTTTGTGGCTTCTTGTTCAATCATACAAGCAGAATAACACGTTGCGATGGTGTTTGGGAATCTGAACATGCTAGTGGAAAAATCCCAGAGGAACGAACCACATAGCTGAAAACATCTACACACTGTATATCACACATGTGACATGTGCATGAAGCACTGCAATTCCTCATGCGTGGAGGTTGCATTCATTCTGACCACATTTTTTATACAAAGCAAAAAGAATTAATTGCACATTTAGAACTAATGAAGTTGCTTTGCAGGCAATTGGTTATTCTTTTTAGTCATCTTCAAAAGTTGTTTCTCATGATCATAAAACATTATGATCAAATGGTTTTAATTATAATTGTAGACAAATCTCATCATACATATTTGTCCTTCAATAGTATTTAAAAGCATGAGTTGAGTGAGCAAAGCTGGAATCTGGACAAACAAGAAGCTCAAATATAAAAGTTTTTATTTGTGTCACGTGTTTTGCTCATTACTTCTTTCCTATGCTATCATTTGTGTTAGTTTAGAGTCTTTGGTAGACTTTACTTTTACTCTAAAATGTAGAAAACTGTCATAGTATATGGCAATGCTGCAGTCAGATCCACACTGTCATTAAATCACATTAAATAAGATGTTATTAATCTAGCATTTGCATGTTTTTTTTTTCTTCTTTAGAATTATTTAGAAAGGGAAAGAAGTCAAATTGTGTTGAAGGTGAAAATAATATTTGTGACAGTACAAACTGGGTTTCATTAGAATCAAAGTGATAAAGCTACACAAACATGCACTTATAGAGTTGCATTTACCTAAAAAAGTCATGCACACACAAGAATGCATTACATTGAATATGCATGAAGGAGCATAAAATAGCAGGAGAAAACTCACCTTTCATTAGGACGTTGCAGGGCAGCCGGCAGTGTCAAGTTTCCTGTATATTCTCAGGTTTTGCTCTTTAATGTGGGGGTTTTCTGGTTTCGTGGAATCCGTCAGTCAGCCCTGGATGGTCGAAGTCCAACTCCTCCCCCCTGCACCTCCCTCTTGCTCCCATTCACAAAACACTGAGAGCGTGAGGCTTCAGCGGGGCACTGGCGGATTGCATAACACCGTCACCCAGCGCTCGTTCAGCCTGTGAAGCGTTTTTTTTTCTCTCAACTGAAGGGCACCAGAGAAAGGAAACATTCTGGCTCCGTCTCAAAAGACCACCCTGATCACACCAGACTCTCAGGAGCTTAATAAACGGGGCTCAGAATGAATCTCCAGAGAGGATCATGGGATACTGGTCAAAAGGAGTCACATTTCTATTGGAATAATAATTTTTTTTTTTTTTTTTTAAAAGTGCACTCAGTTTTATTTTTACAGACAGATATCAGTATTTTTTGTTGTATTTTGCTAAGACAAAAACAAACAGTGAACAAACATTCAGAACACCTCATCCACCACATAGCAACACCCTGGCAACCACCCAAAACACCATAGCAACACTCTAAACACACTCTTAGTAATACCTTAAACAAATTTCTTAGTGAAACTCTGGAAAATCCTAGCAACCACCTAGAACACTAAAAACATTCTGAAAACATTAGTAATTGCATAGCAATGCCCTGGCAACCACCCACAATACCTTAGAAACCAACAACTGCATAGCAACACTCAAAAAATACTCTTAAAGTAAAAAATACTTTACCCTATCACCCTAGCAACCACATAGAACAATCTCACAGCCACATAGATGTGCATTAAAAATCACCTTAGCATCTGCATAGCAACGCATTGGTAACCACCCAAAACACCATAGCAACTGCATAGCAACACTTCAAAAGCATGATAAATAATACCTTAACAAGTTTCTTAGCAGAACCCTATAAGACCACCCTAGCAACCACCCAGCAACGCCCTAGCAACCACCTAGAACAATCTTGCTGCCACATAACAATTCATTAAAAACCACCCTTAAGACTTTAGCAACTACATTGCAGAACACCATGGCAACTGCATAGCACTGATAAGCTACTACTAAATGTAATGTAGAAATTTAAATTTTCTGTAAAGCTCCTTTGCAATGATTTGTATCGTGAAAAGCGCTATACAAATAAACTTGAATTGAAACATAATAATACCTTAAGAAATTTGTTATCAGAACCCTGTAAGATCCCCGTGGAAACCACCCAGCAAAGCCCAAGCAACCAGATAGAACAATCTCACAGCCACATAGAAGTGCATTAAAAATCACTTAGAAGATCTTAGCAACTGCATAGCAACACAGTGGTAACCACCCAAAACACTCTAGCAACCACAAGGAACACTAGAAAAGCCTTAATACTTTAGTAACTGCATAGCAATACCCTGGGAACCACCCAGAACACCATAGCAACACTTTAAAACACTATGAATAATACCTTAACAAATGTCCTAGCAGAACCCAGTAAGATTAGCCTAGCAACCACCCTGTAATGACCTAGCAACCACATAGAACACTCTTGCAGCCACATAGTGCATTAAAAGTCACTCATAAGACCTTAGCAACTACATAGCATCGCAGTAACTATGCAGAACACCATAGCAACCACAAAAAATACTAAAAACATTCTGAATACATCAGTAACCACATAGCAACACCCTGGCAATCACCCAGAATATCCTAGCAACCACCCAGAACACCAAAGCAACCACAGAGAACACTACAAACATTCTGAATGAATTAGTAACCTCATAGCAACCCCTGGTAATCACCCAGAATATCCTAGCAACCACCCAGAACACCAAAGCAACCACAGAGAACACTACAAACATTCTGAATGAATTAGTAACCTCATAGCAACCCCTGGTAATCACCCAGAATATCCTAGCAACCACCCAGAACACCAAAGCAACCACAGAGAACACTACAAACATTCTGAATGAATTAGTAACCTCATAGCAACCCCTGGCAATCACCCAGAATATCCTAGCAACCACCCAGAACAGCCTAGAAACCACAGAGAACACTAAAAACATTCTGAATGAATTAGTAACCTCATAGCAACCCCTGGTAATCACCCAGAATACCCTAGCAGTCACAAAGAACACTAAAACATTCTGAATACATCAGTAACTGCATAGCAACACCCTGCCAATCACCCAGAATATCCTAGCAACCACCCAGAACAGCCTAGAAACCACAGAGAACACTAAAAACATTCTGAATGAATTAGTAACCTCATAGCAACCCCTGGTAATCACCCAGAATACCCTAGCAATCACAAAGAACACTAAACATTCTGAATACATCAGTAACTGCATAGCATCACCCTAGCAATCACCCAGAATATCCTAGCAACCACCCAGAACAGCCTAAAAACCACAGAGAACACTAAACACATTCTGAATGAATTAGTAACCACCTAGCAACCCCTGGCAATCACCCAGAATACCCTAGCAATCACAAAGAACACTAAAACTTTCTGAATACATCAGTATCTGCATAGCAACACCCTGGCAATCACCTAGAATATCCTAGCAACCACCCAGAACAGCCTAGCAACCATAGAGAACACTAAAACCATTCCAAATGCATTAGTGATCACATAACAGTGTCCTGGCAACCACCCAGAATAACCTAGCAACCACAGGGAACACTAAAAACATTGTGAATGCATTAGAAACCACATAGCAACACCCTGGCAATCACCCAAAATACCCTAGCAACCACGAAGAACACAAACAACATTCTGAATGCATTAGTAACCGCATAACAACACTCTGGCAGTCACCCAAAATACCCTAGCAACCACAAAGAACACTAAAAACATGCTGAATGGATTAGTAACCTCATAGCAACACCCTAGCAACCACCCAGAATACCATATCAACCACAGAGAACAATAAAAACATTCTGAATGAATTAGTAACCACATAGCAACCCCTGACAATCACCCAGAATACCCTAGCAATCACAAAGAACACTAAACATTCTGAATACATCAGTAACTGCATAGCAACACCCTGGCAATCACCCAGAACATCCTAGCAACCACCCAGAACAGCCTAGAAACCACAGAGAACACTAAAAACATTCTGAATGCATTAGTAACCGCATAGCAACACCCTGGCAACCACTTAGCAACGTTCTAACAACTTAGAACAACCTAGCAACAACATAACAATGCAAGCACCCTGGTATACCAGACCATTGGAGCACTGAATCAGCACGTTTTCTTAAGAAAAAGTAAAAATCGCTTTATTATTGATTATAATTTGGATGTTTTTTTCCCTTAACTCAGTTTGTCTGTGAATTCAAACGGTTGCTCATTCATTCCTTTCTCCTGCTCATTCTTTGTGTCTTCAGGCGTTCTCTGCATACTGATGCTCCAGGAAGAGTGTTTTTCTTCCCAGCAGCTCAGTGATGCTCATTTAGGAGAATAAACTGCACACACCGCTCTCCCAGAGCACAGTTTTACTCCTCAGACTGTCGCTCGTTTATAACTGGGATTTAATGCAGTTCTCAATTATATTTCATTAAGGTATCAATTTCATCTCAGATGTTTCTTCTTAAAGTCTTCAGGAGAGATAAAAACAGACCCAAATGAGCACATTTGGGCAAGAGAATAGGGCTAAAAAATGACCGTGGAGCATGTTGAGGTTGTTGAGAAACTCGCATGAGATTACTGGAGTCTTATTCTCAGGAGAAACATCTGAGACTTCAGCATTTGCTCATCCTCTTGCTGTCAGAGAAGCAGACAGCTGCGCACGATCCTTTTATAAGAGCTTTGCAGCATTTCATCACTAAACTGTGCTAGGTGATCTGTCAGTGAAGGCACACGGAGTTCTTCAGCTCCAGGTACACACGGGTGTAATAAAAAAGTAATAACATTTAATAAATTAAATTTGGATTATTTTTAGGACTATTCAAATTTCTTCATGGTAAAATCTGTAGAGAGAAAGACTGATAATCAGTTTTTATTTTTTTATATAAATATTTTGAGTATTTTCCCTAATATTTAACTCATTTAATGGTTCTAGACATTTTGCACTAATAATAATATAATAAATGTCATAATGCTAAAACCATCTCATTTTCATTACTGCAGTGTGGAAACAATAATAATACAATTGATTACAGTATACAGTTAAAACTCTATTGTAAGAAAGAGAATAAAAAACTTTTTTTATTTAAAAAAATAACTAGATTTTTCCACAAAATGTATATATGTTTTGCATAAAAGAAATAAGGTTACAAAGCAACAAATATAAAATCTAAATATATTTAAAGTTTTGTTTTTTCTTAGATTTTTGATTGAGATTTAACCTGGATGTTTTATTAGTGAGTATTTTTGTATTCTCATTTTTCTCAGTTTTGACCCGCACTTTTTTTTCCCAGATTTGCCCAATTAAGGGGTCAGACAGTTGCCCAGAAACCCCCTGCAATTCAGCCTGAGTACATACGGTAGCTTATTCATATAATTTAGGTCTCCAGGCAAAGTTATTGTGTTGAAATATGCTGTACGGCTCTCTGGCATCTTCTGGAGCAGCAGCACGTTATGAAGGATGTTTACAGACCATTAGAGGGTGTTCACTGCTCTCTGAGCATCTAATTACGCACATTCCTTTCTCAGAAACGGGGAAAAAGGGAAAACGGCAAGATCTTGTCCAAACTTATTGTTCCACATTGTGATTTTGAAACGTTTAGCATCAATAAAGAGGAACTCAGAGATGTTTTTATTGCCCCTTTTCCCCCAAATCTCTCCACATCACTTCCACAGGTCACTGGTCTGTCCGTACGGAGGAAGCTGCTCCGTCTCTCTCGTTTAGCATCACCTCGTCTTAACCGTGACAGGAACGCTGTTAATTATGAGTTGGAGCATGCAGTGCTCAGTTAACGGCTGTGCTGTGCTCCTAAAGACACAGTAGGAGACCGATTGCGTAAAAGATTCTGGCAGAAGAAAAACAGGACAGAAAGAAAGTGCTAGAACGGAGTTTTGACCAATTAAGGGGTCAGA